CAAAAATCACCCAAAACATGCCTTCATCACGTTTTTTGTCATGTTTTAGGACAATCTTGTATTTTAATTTTATTTTTTCGCAATGTTAAGGCTATAGTAAGGCGTGTTTTGGGTCATTTTTGAAATTTTCATATAAAATACTTTGAAGTTTTAAACACAAAATATTCACCTGGCAGCATGTTCTAGGACAATCTTGAATTTTACAGAAGAGTTTCTGTCAAAATGTAGTTTTCATGTCATTTTTGGTCAAAAACTAATAAATGTTGACAAATCTTCGTAAAATTATTTTTCAAAATTGAATCTTTTCGTTCATGTTTGTCATCAAAATAGGGCATTCCGAGAGAATTTTTTGAAATTTATTTTTATAAAATTTACTGTCAATGTGAACTTCGTATCATTTTTGGTCAAAAACTAATATATTCTGATTAAAATGTTTGTAAAAAATTTAAAAATTTTATCTTATCTTGCATGTTTCTCATTACATTAGGGTATTCAGAGAACATTTTTGAAATTTATTTTTATAAAATGTCCTGTCAAAATGTGAACGTTTCGTGTCATTTTTGGTCAAAAACTAATGAATTCTGACCAAAATGTTTGTAAAAATATTTTTCAAAATGTTATCTTTTCCTGCATGTTTCTCATCAAATTAGGGCATTCAGAGAACCTTTTTTGAAATTTATTTTTATAAAATTTTCTGTCAATATCTGAAATTTTCATGTCATTTTTTGTCAAAAACGAAAATAATTTTGACAGCAAAAGTTTGTAAAAATATTTTTCTAAATTTGATCCTTTTCTGCATGGTTCTCATTAAAATTAAATTAAAATTAGAGCATTTAGAAAATATTTTTAGAAATATTTTTGTATAAAATATTCTGTCAGAATGTGAACTTTTCATGTCATTTTTGTCCAAAAACTAAAAGATCTAGACACATTTTTCTGCATTTTTTTTTCACGATGGTAAGGCTATAGTAAGGCATGTTTTGGGTGATTTTTGAAATATTCATATAAAATACTTTTTGGAGTTTTAAACACAAAATATTCACCTGGTAGCATGTTTTAGGACATAATGTTGATTTTTATAGAAGATTTTTAGAATTTTCTTCGTATAAAAGTTTCTGTCAAAATGTAAAATTTTGATGTCATTTTCGGTCAAAAACTAATAAATGTTGACAAAAATCTTTGTAAAATTATTTTTCAAAATTGTATCTTTTACTTCATGTTTCTCATCAAAATAGGGCATTCAGAAAACATTTTTCCAAATTTATTTTTATAAAAATTACTATCAAAGTGTTAACATTTCCTGTCATTTTTGGTCAAAGACTAATAAATTCTGACCAAAATGTTTGTAAAAATATTTTTCAAAATGTTATCTTTTCCTGCATGTTTCTCATCAAATTAGGGCATTCAGAGAACATTTTTTGAAATTTAGTTTTGCATTTTTTCATGATAGCAAGACATGCAAAACTGCAAAAATAAACAAAAAAAATGCCCCAAAACATGCCAAGTTAATAATTTATGCTAAAACTCAAATATATTTTCATTGGGGTTTCTCATTGCCTTTTTAGGCATGCATTGTCAAAGTCAAATGTAAGGGTAAAGAAAAAAAAAGTAATTTGTAAAAAGTAACTTTTTACCATTTTATTAGCAAAACGCTTCACATTTCCAAAACATGCATTCTAGTCTATAAATACACATTTCAAAACGATACAAGTCAAATTACAACAGTAACTCTTAGCTTTACTTTAACACTTCAGGTAAAGATGGACAGATCACATACTCACAACTACTGTCAACCACATGTGTTCACAGGATTCAACAAAGACCCCATCATCAGGAGTGGAACTTGGTTAAACCTCTTTAGGCCTAAAACACAAGTTGAGATAAAAACATTCCATACAAATGCTCTCAGATGACTACACCATGTTCAAAGTGTTTAGCACTAGCATGTTACAAACCACTTAAATTAATCACTACAATCCACTTAAGAAAACCACTCATTTGCTTTGAGTTTAACATTAAACTGCTGATTTATTCAGTAAACGTTATACACTTCTAAAGCTGTTTCCATCAATCTTTTCTGTAATGGATTTGTCACTCCTTTGTCAATATCTGTGAAAGGATTAAATCCATTTCTTTTCATACCTATAATAGTGAGGTTGAAGCAGCCCAGTCTGGCTGCACACTGAAGGAACACTGAACTCATCTCCATTACTTTGGCCATGATCTAAACCCAAGATGCATACATTTAAAAATAAAAAAAAACACTGATAAGTTGGAAAAAACAAAGCTAAATCGCACTCGCAGTATAACATACTTACCGGTTTAAAGATGGCTTCGTCGGTAATTCACTATGTGTATTTGTTCAGTCCAGCCCCGACATACTGTAAACATTTCACACTGTAAATGCTGTCAAAAAGTGTCATTTCCGGTGACAAAACTTGACAAGCTTCTCTTACTGGAGCAGCTCAAAAATGGCCAGGACGATGTCGTTCACGTAACAGAAACCAGATGCATCGAACTTCTTGGCGTCGTAGAGTCCACCGGTCTTCTGCTACACCATACGTGCACGGACACACAAATAATGAAAACATAAATACTTACCCTCGACAATAATGTGCCCTGCTCTTCATAGATGTCTCAACGTTTCAATGCACTACAAAGTGCAAGCACCGCTTTGAAGGAAACGTTCACCACAGAACAAGTTGCTGCTTCACTAACACTTGGCTGAAGTCGCAACGCCCAAAATATTTGGATCATTCAAACCAAATGGTCTTCGTGCAGATATTTAAAAGACCTAATAACAAAGCGGTATCTCGTACAATTGAATCACACGCTGACTGAAGCAGTCAGAACTAGTTTGAATGTGTAAACCGTGCGGCAGAGGCTATTGTTTAGCATTTAGCATGCTAACCGGCTGCCCCACTCGGCAGTTCAGCGTGATCACGGTTTCAAACAAATCTTCCGCACGCTCTGTGGAATACTGGTCCTTCACATGACGCGTTAATCGCCAAAGTGAAGAGAACCAGAGATAGAACTACGTACCGTCGTAGTAATAGCAAACCATTTTCTCTGTGCCTTCACACAGCGCCATTTTGCAAACGTCACCCGGCCATGAAGTATTACCACTTCCTTCCGCTTTTCGTTATCCAATCACAAGCGGCAGCTACAATCCACCAGGTGACAGCGCATGCTCAGTAGTTTGTTAATCGGTAGATACACAGTCACTGCACACTATAGTCAGTGGAGCTGAAAGAAAATTCCTGCAACTCTTATAGTGAATTGTGCTGAAACTACTGCTCACATCAAATGTGTGCAAATGTTACATAAATGGCCAAGAAACGAAGCAGCAACACATTGTTTGTGTCTATCTGTGACAACACCAAGGACATTTTAGTTTTGGGAACTGACATCTTTTGTCTGCAGCTCCATTGCTTTTACTCTAAGGGCCGCTCTAAGGGTAGCAAGACTGGGTAGCATGGGTAGCATGTTAGCATGTAAGGGTAGCATGTTTTTCATCAAATTAAAGAATTTTCCGATTATTTTTTTTAAATTTATAATTATGTCCCTTTCACAGGTATTCACAGCTGGAACATCAGTGTAAGCAGTATGTACCGAGGACCACAAGTGGGATAACCCTATTGTCCGGTTCGACAAACATTGGCACAGTTTCTACCTGAAAACATGCTGCCAAGTGAATAAATTGTGCTAAAAACTCAGAAAAACGTCATATCTGAACATGTCAAAATATGGTCAAAAACATGAATGTTTCTCATCAAAATAGAGCATCTAGAGAATGTTTTAGAAAAAAATGGAGGTTTTTGGGAAATATCCTAATGTACTCTGTCATTTTTGGTCAGATGAAAAATTATGATGGAATTATGATTATGACTGTATTGGCAAAATATTTTTCAAAATTGCATCTGGCCTGCATGTTTTTCATCAAATTAAAGAATTTTCCGATTATTTTTTTTAAATTTATAATTATGTCCCTTTCACAGGTATTCACAGCTGGAACATCAGTGTAAGCAGTATGTACCGAGGACCACAAGTGGGATAACCCTATTGTCCGGTTCGACAAACATTGGCACAAAGCTCTCCATATTATGGCAAAGGCTCACTTTAATTTACGTTTCCCTGCACTGCATTTCATCAACTGCATTTTCAGTTAATACCGCTAGATGGCAAGAGACACAATTTACTTTTGCTTAAAAATGACACAAACAAGTTTGGTGTTGATTGGCTTTGCCTACGTGTGAGACGTGCAGCCTATCTTTAAAAATTAAAACAATAAGTATAAATTGAGAGCAAAGAATAACCAATGTTGAGGAGAAAATGTGTAGATTTTTATTAAAATAAATATTTCTTTGTCAAATTGTGGAATGATGGTTTACCTTAATCGTGATTAAATGTGATTGAGATTAAATGTGTGAGATTGATCAGAGTTATTTTTTCGGCAGTTTCATTAGGCAAAACAAAAAACAAAAACAAAAAAACACAGGATATTTTTTCCCTTTCGACAACAGCACATGACCATATGCTCAAAACTGTCAGAGTCGGAATGATGATTTCTCACTTTCATACAGACTTCCTCATTTGTCTTTCACCCACACATAAACAGTCCCGGCCTTTTCCCACCATGCCCCGGTTTCTTGGTTGTCACATCTTGTGATTTGTTACTCACACTATTGGTGCATCTATAAAAAAACGAATCCTTAAACTAAATATGTGGATAGATACCAAAATCATCTGCATATTAAACATATTTTAAACAAAGAACAAGTTGACCTAACAGAAGTAGCTGTTTAGAAATACACCCTTTTCTGAAATTACCCTATAGCTAAACCCTCACATTTCCACCATTACAAACAAAGATAAACATGATAATCTGAAGGAATACATCTCTGAAAACAACAGGTAATTTGTAAATCATTTAGAAAACAATCAAACAGCAGTGATTGATCTTATATATGTATAAATATTTTACATATAACAGTTGATTCTCTTCTTGTAATATGTGTTTGTATTACTATCAACTTCCCCTTTTAATACTAACCGCAAACATTCCCTTAACATTTCTCTCTTGGCAAATTGTACTGGTCATGTGAAAGACTGCCTTTACATTTGGTTGAATACAAAATCATCTGGTCAGTGTCAGAGATGAATTCTAATGACGATGTTGAAAATGTACAGCAACATTCATGCCTCACTCACTAATTACCGCTCCTGTTTTGAGGCACTCTTTCATAACACAGATCGAACACAGATCGAACACATAACAAGGGGCATATGGGGGAGTTATATCTGATCAAGTCCCCAAGTTGTCTAGTCATTTCTGTTTAAATGTGTTAAGTGAGTCTGCCCAGTGTGTGTGTGTGTGTGTGTGTGTCAGCCTCGTGTAACGTACACGTTTGGAATAAGAACATTGATTGTATTTACACTAACAAGGCCCACTCAGAATTCTAAACAGCCCACACAGTCAGTCGCACTCAACATTCATCTTTTGCCACTTAACATCAGACTGTCGGAATGACACTCTCTGCTTTGTACTTTCTTTGTTGGCAACATCGTTTTTTTTCTTCTTTACCTTTCCTTTTCCACCATACTCGTTGCCACAGGAGCCCAGTTGCGCAGCATAGCAGAGAAAAGAAAGCTGCGGAAACTCTCGTTCTCTCTCTCTCTCTTCCCCTCGCTGTCGCTCTCTCTCTCTGTGTGGGAGACGACAGGGAAACCCATGACTTCCGCGATTTTCCTCTCTCACTGAAACCGCAGGCACAGTAGTCAAGCAGATGGTCTATAAAAAGTCACAATGAAGCTGTGTGCTGGTAGACGACCAGAGACCCCCCGGAGGACTGTATTCCGTCAGAGGACTAAGTTGTGGACCCACACGAGGGAAGTGCACCACTTCTGAACTAAGCCTAATACCTGGACCGTGAGGATCTTCTGCTCGAATCGCAAACTTCAGACTGCCCTCAGATGTCCCACCAAAACACGACGATGGATGTCGAGTCTCTGCACAAGAGTGACCGCCGAGGCAGAAGCTACCACGACGTTTTTGTCGTCATGTCCATCATTTTTCTCTTCGTTACGGTGGCAGCCATGGCTGCAGCTGGAATACTGTTTGCGGTTAACTTGCGCTCCAAAGTCAGTCCTTCCGCTCTAACATTTGACATGTCTGATCGGCAGCCCGCTTTTCCACAGTACAAGGTAAGCATAAAATACATTTTTAACAAAACTTTAATTTATGTCATTGGTTTGCTCTTTTTTTCTTTAATGATTTAATGTTTTATTTCATCAACAGATCGATAAGTTTGCCTATCTGGAAGCCAAGACCGGTAAGCCTTAAAGTTGTTATTTAAAAAAAATACGGGATAATGCAGAAATATACACAAGTAATAAGAACATATATATATAATATAATAAGAATATATATATATATATAACGTTAGTCAAAAACGAAAAATGTTATATAGAAAATTTATTTTTATATTTATTTACTTTTAAAATGTATGGAATTTACTAATATACTGTATGAATATATAATATATATTTATATATAAACTTTTAAATGTGTGGAATTAACTTATATACTGTATGTATATATGTGTGTATATGTGTCTGTATATATATGCTAATTGGTTGTTTAGGGCAGGTATGAAACAAATTTCAATCTTTAATCTTTAATTCATAGAATTACACCCTAGAACCTGTCACTAAACCATGCCTTTTATTGACCACTGAAATTTACAAAGGTTGTACAGACCTCCAAAAGAGTTGTGTAAAATATATTCATTTAAGTGTTTTGTTTATATCACAGTTGAACTGGTAACCTCCACCATGCACTGGCACCAAGTCTTTTATGGTCCTACCGTATCTGTTGGAAGCAACTTCCTGTTTGACCAAGCGCAGCAGTCGCTGAAACCACAGCGAGAGGGGATGTACTTCATGTACATTGACCTAAACATAACCTGCACATTCAGATGCAACGCAGGCCTCCTGACCATCACTGTTGGTGATCATCTCACCTGTCAACTGACGCTGCCTGACATGGCAAATTCAACAGCTGTACATCAGAAGTGCTGGACAGTGACCAAGTTAAACACGGAGGGTCTTCTCGTTCAGATGACAGTGCCGAAGGACGGGCTGCAGCACTGGAAACTTAACACCAAGGGCTCAGGATTTGGGATTTTTCTCGTGGACTGATACTGACTAATATGAACCATGAACTATTTGTCTAAATGTAGCCAAGATGTAGAGTGCTTCGCATCATTAGACTGCCAAAACAGGAGGATTTACAGTTATGATGACAGCAGGTTTGAAAAGACACTCTCACTCATTTTCTGTAAATATGTTCAGGACCGTATGTTATATATTTATTTATTATTTATTTATTCACTTTTATTTATACAGTATTGTGTTGCTTTTTGATATAGATACCACTACATTATGCTGAATGTGCAATATATTTGACTTACATGTCACTTTATAGATTCATATCCTTGACTGCTCAGCAAAGCGTGTTCTGACTTCCAAACCACAAGACCTAAAGACCTCATTTAGGTTTCCATAATGTCAAACAATGACCCACAGGCAGTGACGTTAAAATGTTTATTGTTGAATCAATTTCTGCACTGATGTGAGAAAGTATTTATTAGTCCTATGGACAGACTGCACACTGTTGGATGTATTTTAATATATTGGTAATTTAAAAAACTCAACTTCTGTGTATATTCATTGGTTCAGTCACTGACTTACTCTTGGAACACAGTTTATTGCTAAGGGAAATTGTTCTACTGTCATGCAACCTGTTACACAGTCTATTCCGGGAATAGTGTGTTCATCATTTCCTGTTTATTTACCACGCTTGTGGTTAGGAGAAAAAAAACAACAGAGATGAGACAGAAAGCACAATGTATGCAGTTTGAGCCTCACAACTGTTTTTACCTGCAACACATGAAAAGACAGCTCAATTTCTACAATATAAATATACCTACGATCAGCCATGTGTATAATTCTAATTTCTAAAGTTCTAAGAACACATTCAGTTAGTGTTTGATTTTTATTTATCATATTCTCAAGGCTAGTTTCCAAGCCTCGGTTAATTATAGGCACCGGGTTTGTTTCATTATTTAATTTTCTCTCCTTTAATCAAAATGTTTTGGATGCATCCCCTTAATTGATGTATTATTTTTCTTTGGTGCTAAAACTCAAATAAAAGAAACTAATTTAGTAGAAAAAAATCATATATATGTATGTATATATATATATATTATATATATATTATCTCTAAGAACATTACAGGTATTGTGTAAAATCAATCAGTATCAGACTGTTAACGGATAAAAAGAAGAAGAAAATGATCAACCTGATATATTCTTTAAAATAAATAATTTAAATGAGTTTTTTCCTGATTCATAAATACTTTTATTTCACATAAAACAATACGATTCCTATGTGGAAATGAAACAATGAATAATTATTCAGCCATTGTGTTGTCACTTCCTTGAACACAGGAAATAATTACTTTCACGAAAAATATGGAATATGAAAGCTGAGATGCCCAATGAGAAGCACGCTGCGGAGAATTAAAAACGATTCAGGATGGCTGCTTCGCTGTAGATTTGATGCTAAAACCGCATGAATATAAGTGTTTGTGTTTGGCTCGCTTTTTTCGACGATATCTGTCTCTCGGAGCAGGAAATGACCCATATATAACCTCAGCATGTTTGCACACCAGACCTGCCACCTGCCACCTGTTGAGAACAATCTGATATGAGTGCTGATATGATTTAAGATTCAAGATTTTATTTGTTACATGCACATCAAACAGCGTACAATGTACAGTAAAAGTTGGCATGTACCTGCTGAGTAAACACTTAAAACAAACGTTTAAAGTAAAACAGTAGCCAGTTAACACCTCCCCTCCTCTTGACAGTATCTTTCTACTATTTACTCCTGCTCCCTTCCTTCTAAAGCCTTTGTTTTGAATGTTGCACATTTATACAGTAAAACTCCTCCTAACATTTTCATCTGTCAATCTCACATCATGTCTTTTCCCCTCACCATATTCAGAGTCCCCGTCAAACAAGGCTGCAGATTCTGTGAAACTTCCCCTAGTACACTCTCAGAGCTGAATCACCTTAATCAGCGTCAGCACCACATCCTACACACCTACACACACACACACACACACACACACACACACACCTACAGAGGTGCAGTTTATTTTTTGAAAAAAACATTTGAAAAAGAAAACGTTAACACTGTTTCAATTACTGATCAAATGAATTGATTTTTCAACAATTCAACAATTGAATAACACATCTCAATCAAAACATTTTTCTTCAGAAACGATTCCAATAAAAATCACCATGAAACAGGAAAATATGGCAATTCTGAATGTCAGAAGGTCCAATAAGAACGATTGTAAAGACGTAACAATTGAACAAAACTATTTCCAGAAACATTCAAATGAAAGTATTTTCTACACCATCTGTGGGATTATATTAGTATAAATTATTTAATTTATATGCACATTTATTTCATCTTTTTTTACCCTGCTGAGGGTCAGAATTAAGGCTGGAGCTAATCCCACCGGACGATGTGCCAAGGCAAGGTTACTCTGCTGAAAGGATACCCTGGACAAACGTATACTCCCCCATTCATACATATGGAGTTATTTAGTTATGTACACAGAGTACCATCGACTCGAAAACTGCATGATTGTGTACTGTGTGAAGGCACACAAAACAGTGGAACCACAAAATGTACATTTTAGGGAGTTAGCATGAATGCTCCCATGAAGTTGTCTGCTTGTCCTGGACGTATCGTCTGAATATTCTCCAAAGTGACAAATATTCTATCTCCACTATGCAGGTGGAAAATTCCAGCCAGAAAACTGTTCCATATATCCTCCATGACTGTTGCCCTACTTGTGGGCTTTGGGGTCCGGCAGTGAAAACTAGAATAAACACATTTTAAAGAGATTCCAAAAGTAAATCTGAATTTGCTACAATGATGCAGGTAGTGTGATGTCATGTTTTATTCTTTACTTAAATAAGCAGAAGTACAACAATAGAGCATCAGAGTGTTCCAAGTGGTTTACCGACTCACCTTTTTGCTCTCATCAGTTCTATTGACTCATCGTAGGCACTTGTGTTTCTCACAACTTTGTGCAGAATAGGTGAACATTCCATTGCTGCATTAAGTTGCACTTTAGAGTAAAGAAAGTAGTATCCTTCCTTCTCAACCAATAACCGGCCTTGGTCGTAGCTCATTTGGTTCATAATGGCGTCACCTTTGTCGTGAATCCATTGCACCACATTATTTTCCACTGAAGGAATATTGGGGCCTTAAATAAATCAAAGACAATAAAAACAGAATGATAACACATGAATAAAAACATGTCAAATTCAATCTTGTGGTTTGAGTTAAGAGTTAAGAGAACACTTACCTATCACATGAGCAAAGGGTCTTGGTGTCATCTTCTGTGGGATTGGTATTTCATTGAACTCTAAAGCCACAAATAAATGAAAAAAAAACCAAGGTTTTAATAGAATTGGTTCCAGAGCTGTACATTTCTGCAGAGGAAGAATTGACAGTGAGGACAATACCTTTATTTCCTATTTGGCCTAGAAAATGACCACCCTGTAAGTAAAGAAAAATAAAGAAATTCAGGACACTTGAAGACGTAGTAGTATGTTCAGCATTAAGAGATGTAAAAACTGTACATATGCTTTTATCTGTTGACCATATGATCTAAAATAAGACAACTTCAGGTTGTAAGAATAGGATCCATCAAAGGAAATAACCTAGAGTCAGAGGGGAATGATACGAATAAATGAACAACAATGTAAGCATTTTGAAATTGTGTGAAATTGTATTGCGTTGTATTGTGTTGTATATATTATTATAAAGAGACAGAAACACATTCAACATATTTTATCACTGTTAAATGTAGAGCACACACAACTGCCCACATGCTGTGATGTTAAGTGTTTCAGTCTCGCTATGACGTAGTGAGAATAAGGGAAATTCTAGCCATACAAGTTTCCAAACACTCTCTCTTTCTCCACACAGACACACTGGCACACTCACCTCAGTTTTTCTATATAAAAAGTAAATGAAAAACCCCTGCACGACAAGTCCAAACATAGTCACAGCTACCAGCAGGAGGAGAACCTTTTGGCCTACTCTTGCCCAGATTGGTTTGTTTTTCCTGGGCATATAGGCACATTTTGACTGACTGTTCACCACGAAAACCTGAGGGCTGAAACCCACGTCCCCCTCTGCCATGCCACCAGATACAACTCCACAGAGGACACTCGAAGACGTGATGTCGGCTCTGAAAGACAAAGGGTTAGGAAAAATCAGTCCGACGAAAGAAGGAACAGAACAGTTGCAAAACAGTAGAAGCAGTGAAACAAAGAAATAACCCACAAAAAAGACAAGAAGCCTCAGGGGTTTTCTCTGCTTTGCCTTACAGTAGCATGAAACCATTATCTGAGATATAAAGACATTTCTACAAACCGCAACTACTGCAGGGGCAAAATTGATTTCTTTAAGACAGTTTAAGGAAAAATATCTTTGTTCACCTGATGTGTCTTCACAGCTCACTCAGTCCAGCAGCAAATGGAAATCTAAAGCTCCTTAAGTGTATGGTGAAAATAGGAAAAAGATACTAAAAACCCTAAACTATAATTATATCTGTGAACTTCTCTGAATGCATTGTCTCCCAAAAAATGTCTTCATCCTTAAAGGTGGGGAAATTGTCAGCCCGCTGTCACCTTTGGTGTTTGCTTAACTACTGCCAGTCGTCACTAATACTGCTTTTTAAGTATGCTTATGTAAGCAGGAAATGAACATGATATGGGGAAGAGGCAAGAGGGTACGTAGTCTGTGAGTGTCTGTGTGTGTGTGGAGACACTCCCCGAAAGTTGTGAATAAAATGTTTGTCTCTTCACTTACACTTCCCTTTCCTTCACCTTTTTGATTTATCTTTCCTTGCGTAGCATGATGATGAGAGAGCCAAACAGCAGGACCATAACTCATTAGGTTTTATAGACGGACTCCTTCAACAATAAGGCTGGAATATTTGTTTTATTACTTTTATCATTTCATGATACAGTGATTCCGGCAAATACTATTGAAGTAAAACAACAATCTCGTCCATTACACCGCTCAGTGTTTTTGCTCAGGTTATACTGATATTATTTTCATTACAATTGCATACAAACTTAACATGGGTCTACAGATGTTGTTACTTGTGTTCTATATATTATGTCTACTGATGCTAGTGGTGAAAATGTTTAATGATTATTACAGACGTATGGGAGGTGAGCACATGGAATCCTGCCAGAAAAATGACAACTCTTAAGAGCTGGAACAGCACCAGAACACCAGACGGTGACATGAGCTAAACGTGTGAGTTCCAACGACAGAATGAAGAAGTCGCCCATTTTCAGAGGTACCCACGGCTGACAACAAAGCTAGCTTAAGAGATAAAACCGAGTCTCTCTTGGCGGTCGAACACAAGGACTCTACTTCGTACACAATGGACACATGCTGGGATTTTTAAAAACAAACAGAGTGTATGAAATAACATGACCAGTTTGAATAGTATTTCAAAATCCTATCCTGTGCGACTTCTTTATCCAGACCAACAAACTAGTGATGGCCAGACAAGCTGATAGTGGCTACAGTGACGAAATACCCAACTGAACACAGTTTCCTGACATGGCATGTATACACACACTGTGAGTGTGTGTATACATGCCATGTCAGGAAACAATTAGAAATGCCTGTGTTTACAGTAAAAGACTCAATGTACTTGAGGTAAAACACGAGTTAAGGCTGACAGTTAAAACTATACTGTACTGTAGTTGTAAATTTGTGCAAGACACACATATTTGTCATATTTGTTGACGTAAATCCCATTTTTTTTCCATTTTTCAGGGCAATGAATGCATTCCTTTGGTGAGTCACTTACACATATTTTTTGTCATTTTCTTATTTAGTTCACAGATAAACAATTGGTCTAAAACTGCAAGCTGCAGTCTTCTCAGACCAAGAAAAAACACCAAAAACAAATTTTACACACGAAATTTTGTATAAGAATCACAGAGAATATTTCCCCGTGTGTCAGCACTCCCTTTCTAGATACGGACTTGGTGTTAGGAGCAAAAACAAAGATATATTTATTTTATGTGAAATAAATCAATTTTTATCAAAGCCAAAGAAGATGGCGTGTTACGTTAGTGTACTGTTATATACATATAATATACTGTAATCATAATTTAGGGCTTAAAAAGTAATTACAAAGCTGTCGAAATACTCTGTATACAGTATACTTACGACTTCTAATTTTGCAGAGTAACCCTGTCGTCGTGATTGGAGAGAGTTCGCTACTCTTCTTCCTATGATTGGTCCGTGGCGTTGTCTTCCTCGCGTCCTTCATCCAATCACAGCATGGCAAAGTTCCTTTGCGGAAGGGAGATGAGAGGAAGATGGCTGAAGTCAGATAGTGTAGTGTTGGAGGAAAACATCCGTCATGAAGCTTTTTCGGTGGGAAGATAAGACCCAATGGCGGCCGCTTGTGTTTACACTTGTGTTCGGCTGTTGTTTAGGCTCCGTGTGCTGCTTGGGACAAAGCCAAGACAGCGAGCTGACGTTTATGCTACCAGCCGGGAAATCTGAGTGTTTCTTTCAAACAACAATAAAGAATCTTACGATGGAGATCGAATATCAGGTAAGTGTGTGTGCCACGTAACGTCCTTTTCACTGTCTGTTGAAACACACTTCCTACCTCAGTACTTTACTGGCATTCGTAAATATGAACACAATAGCAATCCATATCTTGCAATTATGAAGTGCAAAAAGGGAAACGCCATTTGAACCTTCAATTCACAATCTACAACTTTCAGCAGCATAGTCCACCTGTCTGTGCAAGTGTAATGACATGCATATACAATGTATAATACTCTTATCTCTTTCACTCCCTCGATCTCCCTCTTTCACACACACACAGAGAGAGAGAGAGAGGTTTAACCCGAACCAGTAGACTCAGTATGTTTGATGTGTCACAGTTTACACTGATAGACATGAGTGTGTTTAGTGGGCGTGTTCTCTGTAAACGTATGATACACAGCTGTTGTCTGGTTTGTTTGTTTGTTTGTTTTTTATAGGACACACATGGACTGTTCAACTATGTGTTTCGTAGATCTTTGCAAAAAATATAAAATCGTCTGACATTTAAAATCCAACTGCACATTGTGCACCGTATATGCTTTTCCTTCCAGGTGATAGCTGGTGCCGGTATGGATGTGAACTTTGAAATCATCTCCCCACAAGGCATCAGACTGGTGGCTGACTCTCGTCGCTCCGACGGAGTCCACATGTTCGTGCAGCCCAAGCCTTAATCAGGCTGTTTCCTACTTTAACTCCTACCTCTAACTTATTGATCATTAAACCTTATTTATACAACACTTATAATAACCCCCCACACACACACACTTACACACACGTCATACAAGTGTAAAAATGTTACACACACTGTACATGCATGTGCACATACATTCACACAAGTAATGATGACAAGAAAGTCTTAATTTAAGGAAACAGAACAAAGGATGTAATTAATGGATTCCTTGTTATTGACAGTGTGGAGACTACAGAGGAGGGAGACTATCAGATTTGTTTTGACAACAGCTTCAGTCGCTTCTCGGAGAAGATGGTGTTTTTTGAAATACTCACTGAGGCTCAAGCTGGGGATGTAGTCGTAGATGATGAGTGGACTGGTTTGGAAGAGCCTGATGGAACCCTGCTGGAGTACAAGCTGGATGACATTCGGGTGAGATACACATTAATGGTCTAGAAAGTACTTAAACATCACATCTGTGGCCAAATGCCAGGTCAGAGGGGTTTTGTGCTTGTCTGTTAGGATGGTCACTTTGTTCAGATAATTAATTAAGATAAAAAAGTCAGGCAAATGACTTTTGTCATTTGCCTTGAGCACGAAGTCGTGTTCAACTTTACTACTGATATTTTTATCCAGGAGTACATGGATACACTGCACAGACACCTGGAACGCAGTCGACACATGCAGACAGCATTAAGGGCGTTTGAAGCACGTGACAGGAACCTTCTGGAAGAAAACCTTTGGAGGGTGTCATTTTGGTCCTGTGCCAGCATGTTGGTGATGCTTTGTGTGGCCCTTACTCAGGTAAATAAAATATGCAGGTGCCAAATGCGTAAAGTAAAACTGAGATGTGCAGTAAACTGAGATAAAACATTGATAATTGTTGACGAAATACATCACGTTAACGCTGAGCCTCAGTGCGTAATGAATGCTGTCTATGAATTTGTCTATTTCTAGGTGTATACTGTCCGGAAACTCTTTGATGATAAGCGGAAGGTCTACACGTGAGGCGAACTGTGCTGCTAAATGAAGACAGGCTGCTGAGGTAGACAAGATGTACTGTACGTCTGATGACGTTTTGAATGCCTACATTTAAAATGAAAATGGAAAAATGATCCTTTAACCTTTTCCAAAATATTTTTACGTCAGTCGGAGGGAATTGAAAGAGGGAAGCAGGAATTAAAATGACAAAGTTGTTTCCATTCGTGTGACCACAAACCCAATATGAAATTTCTTTTAGAGGCTTGCTCTATGTAAGCAACATCAAAGATTGTATTCTTTTGTCTCTGCAATAGTTTTAGGATTTTTAAGGGGATTTTCAAGTCTAAATAGGTCGTAGTTTCACTGTTGTACTACTCCCTTCTAGTGGGTTATGACTTTGTTGTTTCTTTACTGATTTGTCAAATGTGTCTTTTTGCTGCATTCTTACTGACGGATGATAACTAAACTGAGATTTTATGCCATGTCCCAGGCTGTTTTGTGGTCCACAGAATCAGAAAAAGAACACACATTTTCTTCACGCTAAAATGAATTAATTGTGGTAATTAATTTCTAAAATGAATCAGATTAAAATGTTTAACAAATTTATTGCATGGGCAGAATGACTAGCACTCTAGATCCAATGATTCCGCAGTCCATCCACTTATTGTTGCTCTAATACACAGTAAATATACATGTTATTTACACACACTGCAGGAGTATATCAACTCGACGCCCAACATTTTTGTAGAGGCTCCAACCCCACAAGACAGTAAGTTGGTCTATGACTGACAAACTAACTGACACAATTGTCAAACTGGCTGTGAGGGACTGTAGACCAAATAATATTTTTGACGACAAGGGCTTCACCCAAGCCTCGAAAGAAACTGTTGACAAGTGTTTCATGTCACCATCAAGATGCACAATAATGTCCACAAAGTGTGAAGTGTTTCATGTCACCATCCAGATGCACAATAATGTCCACAAAGTGTGGAAAAATCATATAATAATAACAGTTATGGCATATTTTTGGTGGGAGTTTAGGAGTTATACTTTTGTATATTTTGTATACATTGACATTTTGTCATATTAATAACTCAATCATTTGGATTAGTCACAAATAAAAACAGGTGTGAAACACATACATACATATGTACCTGCTGTTATCTGTCCTTCTGTTGTAGCAGTATACAGGAGAAAATGGTTCTGGTCATATTTAGGAATGTTGATTTATCCAGATTTATCATCATTATTTATCATCATTAATCGTAATTTATCATGATTAATCGTAATTTATCCACAGCTACCCTGTGAACGCCATGATACAAATTTTAAACAATGGACAGACCTACAAACCTACCTACCTACCTAAGTCGTTTTCCAGTTTCTCTTGATGTGTCCTTTAGGTGCAGCCGTACTTAGAGATGATTACTTAACAGATAGCTGAGTTTTAATGTGACATTCCAGTCATACTTAAGCAGTATAATCAAGGTAGATATATTTATATAAATAATAAAATTGGTCTTATGGTCAAATGATGCCATTTACTGGATGAAATTATTCGTTGCTTAAAAAAAATCATATATTCATTTCAACACTACAATTATTGACTGCCTTATGAATGTTAAACAAATGGAAATGTAAAGTTTGTCTCTTTTTTATAAAATCTAAAAAGCGCATGCATTTTCATAGGGAATGTTTGGACTTAAAAAGCAACAGTATAATAGAAAGTGTAAACAAATGGAAATATAACGAAGGTAAAAAAAAAGTTCTGAGATTTCAGTACAGAAGGGAGGGCTCCGAAGGACGTATGACAGTGGGTCGGTTAGGAGCCACTGGTGGTCTTCTGCTGCAGAAACAGGTGAGGAAGTCAGAGTTGAAACACGTTAGGTACTGGTATTTTAGGATCTGATCAGTGCATCGCTAGCATTAAGCACCCTTCAACAACAAGGCCTCGATTCATTTCTTTGTTCCTTTTTTATTTTAACACAAACCAATGAGGTTTTACCTGGGAATCCCTGGTGGTGGCGCAGGTGGCACACGTGCCGGCCTTGATGTGGTCAGCGATGCACCATGGTTTGCATCACCAGTGACACCAGGCTGTCCTGGTGGAGGACCGGGTCGCGAAGGTACAGGTGGTGCTCCAACTGCTGTTGAAGGATTAGGACCTAAGGTAGCCACTCTGACAGCTGGAGGTCGACTGGGAGGGGGCGCTGTTACTGAGGCAGGTCGGGATCCTGGAGGACTTTTTTGGAAAGGTGATTTTAAAATTACAGGACACAAACTGAAAATTAAAAATGAATAGATTTGTTGTTGTTTTTTATTGAATCTGTAATTAAAAGCCAGAAAAAAATGCAATAACTGACCAACTAAAGAAACACAGGACTTGAAACTGCTCTGTTTAAGCAACATTTGGAAAACAATTGCTTCCAGGACAGCTGGGCATGTTCAGCTGGATGTTGGTGTTGGATTTGACATTCTGAACGACTTTGCATAGTTAACTATTTGACAGGTTAACTGCAGGAAAGTAACCACAAAGTGGTCTTTGGCTCACTGTGAAGTACTTCAGCCTGTGAAGGCTGTGAGGGTCCTCTCCTATCCAACACAGAATCTAAAGTATGTGCAAAACCATCGGCTGCAAAACCAGCTCGATGTGTGTTGATGTTGGCCCGTCACCAGTCAGACAAACTCTGAGAATTTGATTTCTATCACTGGCCGGTTGATCAGTGCATCTCTACAATAATGTTTTTAATTCAGAATTATTATTATTACCTTGGATCCTTGGCTATCCAAGTGTCATCAACTGGTGGGGGCACTGGGGTAGAAACTGTGGTAGTACTGATATCTCCAATTATGACCAAGGCCTCTTTCAGAGCGCTGTACATCCTCAGCATCTCCTCTCTCTTCTGAGCCTGCTCTGCAGACTCCTCCATCAGACTTCCCTGTTCTCCTGCTGAGTACAGGAAGGCCAGCAGCTCAGAGTGGATGAAGTCCTTTGCCTGGAGAGAGAAAGGAATGAAGAAAGAAAGCTCCTCATGATTTAGAAGACAGACATAGCTTCCTAACTAAAAAGTGACTCAGCATTGAATGAGAGAGAGACATATAAAGCAGAGGGTGTACACTGTTGATCATGAGGTGCATGATAGTCTTGGGCATGAGATCTCTGATGGACTTGTTGACAATGCCAATGTAAGAATCTACGAGGTTGCGGATGGTTTCAACTTGGCGCTCCAGCTGAGGGTCCATAGACACTGTGTCGGAGGAATTCAACGCATCTTCATTCTCTTGCTTGAAAAGAATAAGACAAGGGACAATGAGACAGAGTTCATATGTATCTTACACACTGCTTTCTTTCACTAAAGTATATATGTTTACTAAATAAATACTATATGCAGTTAAATGTATGAAAACGTTCATTCAAAAAACAACATTTAATGATAGTTTCACACAGAGTTACACACAGGAGGTGACTAGTACGTATTACGTACCTGGTCCTTTTCTGGGTAAACTCCAGCTCTTAGGAATGAGGCTTTCCAGCTGTCCACGTCCTCCTGGGTGTCACATGCCAGCTCAATCTGACGCAGGTCTTTATACACATTTCTACAAGACAAGCAAGCACATCCATGAAGCCGAGGTGAAAAGAAATGCACTCCGTTAACAATGTTGTTGAAGTTCCACACCTGTGCTCAGTATTGAAGATGGCAAAAACCTGTTTGCTGGACATGAAGCCTTTTTCTACATCTCTCAGCTTCAGGTTGTCCAGGGGAAGCATGTACTTCTTCTCTTTTTCCTGTGGTGTTCAACAAAATGTTTCATGAATTCACCACAGATTCTCGCCCCCTACAACCTTGCAAAGGAATAAGCTGTAGATAAAGGAGGGATATGGGGATACATTTCCACGGAACACCTGATGATCACTCACAGCACACTAATAACTTCTAACTACTGTTAGAAATCAGATTAATTACACTGCTAATTACACCAAACTGCTCTCTCTCTCTCTCTTACAATGTCAACACAATTAAAAAAGTTTCATCAATTCAATGTGCTATTAGCAACCTTACCTCTTCGTCTTTATACCAGGAGAGAGACTCAGCAGTCAGGACAAACCAGTAGTCCTTAGATCCTCCCTTCATTATACTAATGTTGATGGTTAGCCATCCTCTGCGAATCACCTACATGTAAAGTCCAAAAGATGACTTAGCAATACGGTTCACCGGCAGAGTAATACAGTTCTAGATATTAGCTCAAGACAGCAACGAAAAAAACAACAAAACAACAACAACAAAATCCCTGTCCATGAAATGGCTCAAAAAGGGTGAAGAAAAGGGAGGCGAGTGTCAGGGCAGACTTGTGACAAAAGAATAGCAGCAAAAGTAAAACAGAGGATTTATAAGCAGTAGTGAGACCTGCTATGATCTCAGAGACAGAAGGCTGAGATGAAGGTGTTCACATTTTCACAAAAGTGACCAGGATGAACAGGATTAGAAATCAGAGGGACAGTCAAGGTGGATCATGAAGAGAAGTCTACAGATGTCAGAGCTGGAGTTGACTGACAAGATGTAAAGGAAGATCCTAGAGAAGATGTATGGATGTAGAGAAAGATGTTTTGTGTAACAGTAGAAAAGGCAGGATGAGGTGGAGGGAGATAAAGTGAGCAGCCAAAAGAAGAGAAAATAATTGTTTTTTTAAATCTACAGATAATACAAATTCTTTTTTTGCGAGATTTAAACCACATTAACCCACTGCTTATTTGGTTATGTAAATGTTTTACCGACCAGAGACATGGCAATACCTATCAAATTCAGAAGACATGGAGGTGTAGTACATTTCTGAAAGAAAGGTTACAATGATGTATAGCCAACGCTTTCACTTCCCGGTAGTCTGTCAAGATGTTTAATTTTCCTTTTGTCATGACCCACCCACACAAGAGGAAGTGACAATTGCAGATGCAAGGAGGTGCAATACTTACCAAAACCTCCCCTGAACCATTAAAAAAAAAGGAGGAACAGGAGAGGAGAAAGAGGAACAGGACATATAAGAGAAAAGCCAGCGAATGTATGTACATGTAAGGTAAGAAAGGAAAACTGTGACAACACCGAAGGTCATAAAAGGAAAGGAAAAAAGAGAAACCTGTATTGTTTTAGGGTGTGATTTAAAGGACTTGTTTTACCTGGTTTGGCATGACTCTCTTCTTGGTAGCACAAGCAGCACTTCTTTGCTGAGCACTGCAGCGGAGTAAGTATGGAATGAGAGAGAGACAAAGAAAGAGAGAGAGAGAGGAAGACACAATCAAAACAAGGCAAATTGATCTTTTAAAATTAGCTTGTATTATGTCCTTTATTTACTGAAAAGTAGTTACATCCTAAAATAATAAAAAGCCTAACTCATACCAGCAAAAAACAAGCCATCTATATCATGTGTGTCAAACTCAGGCCCGGGGGCCAAATCTGGCCCGCAGTGTAATTATATTTGGCTCGCAGTATATAGTCCCTATATACTGGCAGGATTTGTAGTATTAGCGGTGTATATTATAGCACACACATTTTGGTTTGTTGGCCTGTGAAAAAAAGATTTACATTAAAAAGGAACTCCAAAGGCTACAGATATAATAAGAAAGAAATACTGATGATGGTTGTCTGGTTGTTCCAGATTCAGTTTTTATTCCAAGCTTAACTTTGTTTCCAGTCAACTCTTCAATAAATATTGAGTTTGGTCAGTGACTTTGTACCAGTTTTATTAATTTCGGCGCAGTGTGAATTTGAGTTGGACACCTCTGATATTCTGTACTATTGATTCCCAACCACTGTGTTGCATCATCAGGTGTACTGTGGAAAATAATTCACTTCACTGGTCTTTACTTCTTTTATATACTGCAAACATTTTGTTTTTGTTTGTCTATGCAACAGATGAACTAACTTACGTGGTCAAAGTGAAAGGTGTGAAACCTGGGCCTGTTTAGTTAAACACGACACTCATATACTCACAGGAATTGAAGAGAAACAGACACAAAGATCGTCTGAATTTTTTTTTTTTTTTTTCAGAGAACAAATGATAGTTTTCATACCATTTATGTTGGAAAGGCTATGGCACAGGGGTTGGGAATCACTAGTCTATACCATGTCTGTTTAATAGTGCTCATGCAACTCATTTGTCAGTGTATACAGTAGAAACTTACTTGGCAAAGCCAATGAAGTCCTCATGATTAGTATTGATGTAGGAGAGCTCAATATCAATCAACAACAACACCTAACACAAAACACACACACACACACACACACACACACACACACACCTTGGAATTAAAATGAACAACCATTTTGCCATAGACTACAAGGATAAAAACACACATTCATGCATGACCACACCTGGTCTTTAGTCTTGCTGTCTCGCTCTCTGATGTAAGTTGTGACGATTCTCTCAGTCTCCTCCCGCAGTCGAGGGTATGAGCCCAGCTGTGGAGGACACACAAACACTGCTGCAGGTACAAATGGGTGTGGACGGGCACTCACAAAACTACAAAAAAATGTATTATTTTTTCTGTAATGCTTTTGGAGAAGGCGTTAAACTTAAACTACAAACTGTTGGAGACCTTTTCCTCACACACCGAGTACTGAACCACCTTTGCTGCTTTCTTCTGACCACTGCTCATACTAAAGCCTTTCACTGGGTCAAAACTCTTTTTGAGACCCAGCTCAGATTTGTACTTTTTCTTTTCAAATATTTCTCCACCACTGCCACTGCTGTCACAACCGAATTACCGCTTATTCTACATTCTGAATGGCAACAGTTATATGCACATTAATTTGTTATCTGCTGCCCCCTAGTGGAAAATAATTTAATTGTTCTGCCTATTACTATCTCATATACAATCAAAGACAAATTAAGGTATATATAGTTTTCAGACCAATTAAGTGAACTTGTGTAGCACATAGCACATTAGTACATGTCACACATAATGTACTAATGTGCTGCACCTGCATTTTTCACTTGTCATTTGAGCTGAAGCTTTCTGTGATGTTCTCCATACCTGTAGCTTTCTCAAATGTTTAAATCAACCACACCATAAGCTACATGGGGAAAAAACAAAATTGATTTGTACACACAATGAAGTCAACTGCCAATGTCACAGCTACTAAGTTTAGTTCAGTTGTAGTTATTGCTAGTTATGTGCCGATCTAACTTTTTCAATCCTGATACAATTTCCAAAACCTGCATATCTGCCAATAACTCTTACAGCTCCAATACCATGGTTGAATTAATAAACTTAACTTCACTATCTGAAGACTGAAGTTCCCGGACTTGACTTAAAAATGTCCTCACTCTGTTAAACACAATACAAATAAAAATTGACCTATGTTATTTAAAGTATTTCTATTTATTTTATTTGAAATGAATGGTAATTGTTTTAAAATGAACACCTGCACCAGCAGTCACTTTTAAAATAAACTGAAACCAATCTTCTTAGTAAACATTTAAAGCATTCAGGGAATGAAATATAGCAGCTGACAGGGAATTAATGAGTAGTTCAACTACATGTAACTTGATCACTTGATCGCTGTTGTTGTTGCTGTGGTTAGATGCTGTAGGTTCCTTTCGTCTCAAACACAGACTATGGTCAATTAGTATCAAGGATTATGTGACTATCAGTCCTGGTTGGAACAGATATTCGGTGTGAATATTGGATCAGTGCATCATCACACAGCAGTCGTAATGGTACTTAAGAAGTGATGTTTGCGCACAGTATTTTGCAGCGTAAATACCACTGTCAAATGTAAAGCATGCCAGTCTGAGTGGTGTGTACATGTACAGGTGAGGTGGAAACCAAGAAATGATACCTTATTGGTGCACTGTCTGACCGTGTTGATGAGTTCCTGGATGACCAGGTCGATGCATTTTAGACAGGGCTCCTTCAGCTTAATGATCTGCTTTTTCACTATGGCCTCAAATGCAAGATCTGGGGTGAACAGGCCGGTCCTAAAGAACACAAAAACAAAACAGACATGGAGCAGAGGAGAGACACCTACTGTAGGAAGAGTGTGGAATAGGCACAAAGATAGAGAACACTGGGAGAGGAGTGGTAAAGCAAGTAGAGAAATTGGGAGACATGTAACAACAAAAATAAAGAGCTGAATTATTTTTAAAAAGTGCCCATACATTAAAGAAAGACAGAATAGCCAGCTCACTAAAAATACACAAAAAACCGGCATTAACACTCGAAGACTTAATTCCCTTAATTTCTCGAAGCGATCTCCTGAGAGATTAATAAAGTTCTACCTATCTAAGACAGAACGAAACGCTGGAAGATTTGATGGAGACTAGTCACAAGACAAAAATGAACTCTTCTTTTCAGGCACTGCACTTGCCTGACACCATGGATGTTCTTGATGGCATAGCTGATCTCTTTCCTCAGTTCCTTCTCATCAAACTCCATCTGAAACACATTACACACAACAGTATTTGTCCCCAGCCACAACAACACTTGTTCTCTACAGAGGAATGCAACAAACACACAAGCAAGCTAGGGAATATACAGATGCACCGACCAGTCCACTTGTTTACAACACCAACAACATGAACGCCTCATAGACAGAAACAGAGGAGACAGAGCTGTCGAGTGCACTGAATGGATACGATGGATGCAAATGATCATCAACTGCGAAAAGCACAGCTTTGCACTAATTCCCAGAACAAAGAAAAGGTTCACCGTTTGGCTCAATTGTTCCAATGTCTGTCCCAGCGTTGAACACATCACACGGCTCCAGGTGAACACGAAAAACAATAATGCGACTAAGACTTTGGTGCCGTATGACTGTCACTAAGACTAGGCTTGCAATCGTTTTTGTGTTACGGTATTTTCTTTGGTACTTGGAAGATAAACTGTAGCCTGACATAAGAACTTATATGTATATTTAACAGCTGTTTTGTGTAAATTCTGTGTATAAGGTTTACAATTTCAGTGAACAGGTTTTTGCACAGCATTCCGTCCTTCTTTGATTTTTTTTTAATGATTGATAAAATGTATTAACACCATTAGCAGCTAGCTGATGTTCACTCAATCTTTAATACATTAGTGATGAAATACTTACAAGACACTAATATTTGTTAATGAATTTGGGGTTTTCTTTCCTTTAACTAAGATCTTAAGAAAAAACATTAACTGAAAAGATGGCCAACAGAAGGTTCACGTGGGAGATAAAACACGTCTAATGCTGCTGATAAAGCAGCAAGGCCCAGCTAACTGCATTAATAATAACAATTGTCCTTGTTGTTGTTACTCATCTCACAATGGGGAAATTCAAAGTAAATCTCTGCACTGGACACAGGCCGCCACAGGAGGAGCCACTCAGTACATGGTTACAACTCACTGGCTGCCACACGGGAGGTGCCATTATGGATACAATATGTGGGTCCTCTGAGAATCAAACCCAGGATTCTCAGCTCTTTGCTTGCAGGCATGCCAACGGGAAAACTAAGGGACCACCAAATTCAACAGGCTGCAACTTGGAGGCGCCAAGTACGTGGTTCATCTGGGAATTACAACGACACATGGGCCCTTGAAGTGGCTAAACTCTGTATGTAATGACAGAGCACAGACACTGCCAGCAGATCCCAGTGAGTGGGAAGAGTCCCAGGATAAAAAAATGGTTAAATATTTTTTTCTACAACTTGCACATGAGTTTTTTTTTAGCTGCACACATGATTGTGTAGAACCTGCAGTGATTGGAATCCCTCAGTTTCCTTTGACTCCTGTCTGTGCTAATAAAAGCATCGCTTTGGAACTTTAACCTGGGCACTTTAGGGTAAAAAAAAAAACGACCAAATATGGAAGTGAAAAGATAAAATGAGATGTCCCAAGAAAATAATAGTAGAATCTCAGGACCAGTCACCTTTACTAACTCAAAGGGAAAACGCTCATGAAAGATCCGGTTAATCTTGGCTCCACCAGAAAGGTTGGAGGTGTCCACTTGATCTCCAGACCCCTCGATGCATTTCTCAAAGTCAACACCAAACTGCTGCACCATCCTGTAGATTTTAAATAGTTAGAATTATCACAATTAATCAACAACTAACAACATCACAACTAACTGGGTTATTCCTAAATACTGTCAGAAAATATTATGCTGGGACTATAGTTGGTGCAACGTGTGCTGCTTTGTTTTCATACCAAAGAAATGTATAATTGTGACATCCCTTCATACAGTATATGTTAGAGTATATGTTTTTTTTTTTCTAAAAGGCTTGCGTTGATGATTGTTTGTGTTGGAATTTGTGTATGTACTAACTGAAGTAGAGCCTTTGTCTTGCGTGCCGGGTCATCTGGCCGGAAGTTCTTGAACTCCTCCACTTCCTTCTCCAAAGATAACAGTTGGCTTTGGAGTTTGCTGCGTAACCCTGGCAAAGTGTCACGGATGTGGTTGGTCAGTTGCTGAAAAAAGGAAAAAATAATAATGAGAAAATGCACAAGTCTTAATAAGTTTAAAAAATATTTTTGTTAGTATCATTAAACCTGCTACATGACTGCTCATGTTTATATTAATACGATTTATAATATGGCAGTGATGCATTAAATGTACATATTTTTCAACAAAAAACTGGGACCAATTTTCAACAATTCCATATTAACATTTTTGAGAAAGGATTTTCATTAACATTATGAATTAGGTCAGAAGTAGCATATCAAAAAGTTTTTTTTATTTAACTGGCGTTATTATTCTGAGTCAGTCACTGCAGGATTTTGTGATGCTGCAATATTCTGAATTCCAGAAATCTTGAAGGGCCTTTTTAGCTATATTGGATTTGTATTAGGTCCATGGGTTTGTCTCTAACCTGATTTAGGGATTTTTGCAGGTGAGATGTGCCCATGCGCTCTGCAACGTGCCTATATGCAGGATGGGACAGGAAAAACTTCCGCTCTGCAGCCAAGGCGGCGCGGATGTCCTTTTTCCCGTCAATATCCTTCTGACTGCGGTTAACCACGCCAATGTAGCCTTCGAGAAAAACAACAATGTTAATATTTTACAACCAGTAGATTGGTTTGAAATAATGCACTGGAATTATTTTGTGGTCTCACCTCTCCGCAATGGCAGTAGTTTGTTGTCCAGGATGTCTCGTGCATCCGTACCCTCATCCATTATGTCCAGCTTTGTGATCACACCAATAGTCCGCAAACCTAAAGAGCAATTAAAAAAATAAAAAAGCAAAATTTTACAGCAAAACCAACCCTTACCAAAACCTTCAGTGAAGGCAGCAGCAGACGGAAGAAATAAAGGCTCAGTATGCCGCATCCCCTGACAAAGCTCACATGTTGCAATACATTTGGATTGTTTTTCGCAAATATATAGCATGGTTACTGTTTTACACACTCTCATGTGCACAGGTTAACTTCATGTAAGGAAAGGAAAGTGAACTACTTGTCACAACCAAGTGTGACCTCTGCTTTTAACCCATCACCATCAAAGTGAACAGTGGGCAGCTTTAAGCGCCCGGGGAGCAGAGAGTGCCATGCTTAGAGCACCTCAGTAGCAATTTGGCAGCTGGTGGACTCGAACCTGAAACCTTCCAGGCCCAAGTCCGCTTCCTTAAGAGCTAAGCCACCACTAGTTGAAAATTACTTTTTACATTTTTCCTTCTCCAAAAATGTTGTCCTCTAACATACTTAAAAAAAGAACCATCTGGATGAACAGAGTTCTGTTCTGTTAGCTCAATTTGGCCATTTGTTACATCTTATGCAAATGTTTCTGCTGCGCTGCAGGAGAATGACATCAGGAACATGAAGAGACAAGAGCCTTATTGTTCACAGCATGGACAGCTTTGTGTAAAATGTTGTTGTTTATCAGCCCATTATTGGCTGGAATTACATTAAAAAAATATTGGCTACAGATTAATTGGACTGATATTAGTGTGTATCCCAACCTAACAATAAATGTTTCATTGTTCTCTTAACCACAGAATTTATGCCATACAACCTGGGATTAAAGTAATACATACTGTACAATAAAATTATTTGGCAAATATTTGTAGCCATATTGGTCCGGAGCAGATTCAAAGTGTAATTTAATCCTTAAAACGACCCTATGCCTTAAAAAAACAGGGAGAAGGTTATCTATAAAAAAGAAGAGCTGGGTCTGCAAGACACAGATACAATGACATACAGATACAGATAATTAATATGCTTTAATTAAAGACCAGCAAACACAGAAATCCCAGAGGTTTCTCTCACCCTGAGGATCTACCTCCTTGGCTATTTTCAGGGCATCAGAGTTGGCCAGGTCAGTATTGGCTGGGGTGACGGCCAAGATTAGACAACTGTCCTTAGTAACAAACTGTAGCAACATATCTCTGATCTGGAACTCGATGTCCTGAGGTTGGTCACCCACAGGCACTTTGGTCATTCCCGGCAGATCAATCACAGTGAGATTCAGCACTGAGTGATAAGAGGGTGGATGAAAAGGAAGTCATTAGTAAAAACAGGTAAAACAAAAAACCCAAAACTTTCAATGTAATTAGTCTGCACGTTTTCTACATATGCATTTGTTACCATTTGGTGAATAGACACGGAGATTTATAGGCACAGGGGAGATGCCCTTGTTGGATCCAGTCAGACGATCAGTTTCTGCCTCTATCTCCTGGCGTACTTCATCAAAGTCCACAAATTTGCGGCCTTTACAGTGAAGGAACTCTGCATACTCTAGGGACAAAAAATTAGTACTTATAAAGAGATGCTACACAGTTCATATTATTATTATTATTATACAGTATGAGCACATTGGACAAACATTGACGGGTACAAAATAAAAACTCACCTGCTTTACTGTTCACCAGCTGGAGGACGAGGGGGCGACGGGTGACAATTCCATTTCCTCTGGGCAAGAAGTCCCTAAGTGGCACACAGTTATAATTAATGACTGGTTTTATTAATGTCAACGAATCTGACAAAAAAAGTCGAAATAATTCAACGACATCACTACAGTGACAGAGGAAAAACAACAGACACACACGTCCAAAAACAATAAAAACAGTTCTCATCGAAACATCAACATGTTTTAGGGAATTTATACCAAATACATTAGAGCACATTAAAAGCTACTAACGTTAGGCCTTTTCCATGACGATCTATTTTACTCATGTGCTTTTGTGACATAATTGGTCAATCAGCCATCAATTAAATTCTTTGGTCAAAAGAATTGCTTTGTGTATGTATGGGTAATGCAGGCATTTTACCGCTTGGTCAACTGAGAATTCAGCTGTTGCCATTTTCATTTTTATTACAGTCAGACCCAGAAACTGTTGATGAATCAGAAAATGTCCTCATTAACAATCATAAAATACCAATTTGTGGCACCTTGGCCTGAAAATGACTAAAGACGCCTGTTCTACAACGACACATCCATCAATATTTTTTTCTCTCCGATCTTGTTGCCGGTCACTGGCGACAGTGTACACTCTGGATGGGTTCAATACAGTGGTCAAAGTCTGTGTGTGCTTTCGGTGTATGTGGTCAAATTCTTGGCATCTTGGTGAGTAGTAATAATATCCAAGAGTGAAATATTAATGCAGAAGAAGGACAGTTTAACAAGCGGTGGGCAAGGGAATATATATTTGTACTTCAGGAGGACACAAACAGTATGTGCTCAGTGTCATGACATAGTATTGGTGATGAAGGAGTACTATATATGTTGGCATTTTGACACCAGACACACAAGTGTTAAATTTAGACTCCAAGAAAAAATGATTAAAGAGTTAAATATTCAAACTGCAATTGCAGCAGGAAATGTTTGGTAAGCTAATGCCAAAAATGATGTGGCAGTTAATGCCAGCCTTGTTGAGGCCGAAGAAATTGCCTGAAACTCTCTTTTGGGGATGGGAAGATGGAGGTGGCGGGATGAGACAATATTTTTGGTTAAAGGACATTTATAGGTCATTATCAGGCTGTTCAATAGATGTTGATCATGTTAGCCCTGCAACGTAGCAGGTTTAAAATGTCAGCGACAGAAAAAAATAATAATAACTTGGGTCTTGAAGAAACCCCTCTTCGATTTTGGTTTTAGTTGTAAAATGATACAAATAACCTGGAACTACAAAAGAAGGGACTGTTTAAAAAAGAAAGCGAGGTTTTTAACTGCACGTGTGATTTATTTATCAACTGTTTTTGTTCCTCAAAAACTATTGTGCAAAAAGAGTAGTGAGTGTAAGGAGAATGAGTTTTTGTCCGCGAATACATTAGCTACAAAATGGAAAGAGGTTTTGAGTTAAAAAAAAAAACTGGGGTAACGAAGGCACCGAAACACAGCGCGAACTGCAACTTTACTTAGCTGGAGATTTTTACACATAAACTATTGAAATGTGGAGAGAGGAGGGAGTTAGACAGCCCACAGGTTAACAGACATTCACTTTGACACTCAAAAATAAATCTGTACAACCTGCCAACGAAATTCTCCAACACGGAGCTCTTCCCTGCGCTCTGTCCGCCCACGACCGCTATCTGCGGCAGGTCCAAGTTGCAGCTCTGGCCAATCGAAGTGAAGGCGTCCTGGAGTTTGTTGATCAGAGATATGAGATCTTCCATCTCCCGGTTTCCCATCACGACACTTGGGTTTGCCCCGTCGTCGTTATCCAGCTCTGCTCCCTATAAATTATCACCGGACCTGGTCAGTCGCAGATAGGAATGCTAAAAGTTTCCACACAGCACTGCGAACACTGCTCTTTTAACTGAGAGACTCTGTATTTAAACGTGATGACGTCAGAACCTGAAGTTTATAACATTAAAGATACTGATACTGCGTGACCAAAACTAGCAACGTTATATCGAGGAACAAACTTCTGGCATCATCCGGTCAGGCGACACCCGGACTCCGCTGGAAATTGTGGCTCCGCCTGAAACGTTACCGTGGTCGATCATTGGCCAAATGTCACGTCGATCAGCGCGCATAAAAAAACATTGTCGGAATATTTGCACTTTTTAAGGAATACTGCTTTGATGAAGGGCAAGCTACGATGGTGAGGCCTTGTGCTGAAAAGGGATTGTGGATTCACTGAACCAGGACTATAGAGAGAAACACAGAGGAACACACCAAAAAACAAAACAAAAACAAACAAAAAAAACAACAACAAAACAAGAATAATGAATATAACAAGGGAGGTTATGGAGATGGTGGAGGTAACAGTAGGATACCTAACAGTAGTAGGTAACAGGTGATCGGCTGTGGTGACCTCTTCAGGATCAGCAGCTAAAATAATGATAAGAAGGAAGAACTTATGTTTAGTTTTTTTGTCTTTCTTGAGCAGACGTTATACTTCAATGTTTTATAGGATTTGTTGTGGAGTCATAGTTTTGTACACGTTGTTTATTAAAAGAAACTAAACAGAAAAGTAATAAATGGAGAGACTTTTTTTTATTTTTTTTTATTTGATTCCGAATGAAACATGTACTTAGTTGTAATGTTACCAGTAATCTGACTTAAAGAATTAATCATTCAAAAGGCAAAACCTCAAAAATCCCAGAAATTTAAAATGCTGATTAAAACTTCAATAAGATTAAACAATTTGATAGTCCAACCTTAAATAAACTGCTACTGGACTTGTATTTACTCTGTATCCGATGGGTACCATATCTGGCACATCACTGCTAATCAGGCATGTCAAACGTTAGAACAAAGCTGTTCCTTTTTGTTTTCAGTGCATTGCTTTGAATCGACTGTATTTGCATATGAAGCCACTAGATGGCAACAGACAAATGCAAAAGCATCTTAATCTTTTGCTTGAGAAAAACTCAGCCCAAAGTTTTTTCAGATTGGAAAATGCTACAGAGCAGGTCGTCCACTGGGACACTGTGTCCCCAGCAGGTCTGTAGGAAACAATGTCCACCATATTTGCGAGGTCTGAACTTAAGAATTCAAGGGTTCTGCAATGTTTGAAGTAAAATGAGGAAAAGTTAGCAGTAGAAGTTACTGTGATAAAACTGTATTATATTTGATATCCAGTCGTTGAAAGATAAGGTTTTTTGTTTGTATTGCTGACTTCACTCGACTTTGCATTCCTGTATTCACGTATCTGGTCCTGCCTGTGCCCTTGTGTCTACACCCTGCTACTATACCTGCCTTCCTGGGTTTTCTTCCTGTATAAGCTATGCAATAAATGCACGACATACTGTAAGTTGTAAAGAGTTGTAAATAGCCACATAGAAGAGAAAGAAGTGGTTAACAATCAATTTTTTCTGCTATTTAGAATGACTTATTGAGTTCCCTTCTTTATCTGCAAACCTCACACCATCAATAATCTAATCTGAGTCATATGATGTTAATTTTGCCAGTGGGAGTTAAATACTCAGAACAGACATTAAAACACTATTTTCAGATGACATGGGGAATACATTTTTACTCTTTGTATTACAGTCATGTACAACATATTACTTTAATGCCCTATGTCATACGCAAATGCCATGTTGACACATTTAAACCTGCTCTGTGTTTTTGTATTTTAATGAGAAGTGGTGATGATTAATGACAAGATAGCTTCCTCATTGTTTTCCGATCCCCATGACACAGTCAGCAGACTGTTTGAGGTTTGATGCCCTCAAGTACCGATTATGCACAAAGACAGACAGTGGCTAGATGATGGGCTGGAGTGAGGGACAATACACGCAAGCACAAAGGCTGGATTTGCAGACACTGAATGAGGGAAGAAAAAGGACTCCAAATACAAAATTCTCTGTTTGAAAAAGAAACAGCTTGCATTGCATGATCACACATAACGTCTCTGCTTTAGTGATCACTCCAGAGAAGACCAAGCCGCTGCTCCAGTCCCTGCGTGAAAAGCGTCATTCAATTTCTTCTTTCAACAACTTTTCCAGCTTTTGGGCCCTTTTACTTTCAGGGCTGTTATTCACATTTCAAATGTGAAGCAAGATCCTACATCCAACAGTTGGATTGTATTTGCTGCATTTACTGATTACATTTTAACCAGGATAAAGAATGAAGATTTTTTCTTCATTAGTTTTGTGTTGCCTGTCAGGTGAGTTTTTTTATGCAATTGTGTTGTATAAATGTGAATTACAGTTTTTGCAATTTGTTAAGGAAATTTTAAATGTTTAAAAATGTATTATACTTGTAACATAAACTATGTTAAAAAGTTATTATTATTATGATAATGATGATTATTATTATAATAAATTTAATGTTTAACATCATCAAAATAAACTTTAAATCTGTAAACATATTGCTTTATTCTTTTTAGGGTGAAGATTTCAATATATATCATAGGTCATGACATTTAAAAACAACTATCTCAAAACACTGATCAATGTGTAACATAATCACCTACCATTAAGATTACCATGACGTTTTATTGCAATAAAATCTATTACAGTCTCCAAAAAAGAATGAATAATACGGACTCAAGCAACATCAAAATGTTTTCGTCGGCATCAATACAAAGTACTCAATAAAATTGAAAAAAAAAAGAAATGTCTTACTAAAAAATAAATATATAATCCCAGTCAAAACACTTCATAATAATGACTTGCTGTTCTAAAATATGCCATTTTACCATCACAGAAACAAAAGGAATACTGCTCTTATAATGATTATTCCCTAAAATGCCTGCATTACCCATACCTAAACAAACACAAGACTGCAATAACTCAGGCTCTGACATGAACGAATAAAGTCCCAACAATCCATCAAAAACTTTAGATCCAATTTCAATGACGTTCAGGAACACATCTTCTGCAAAGACTTAATTCATTCATTGGCCAAATACTCCTATACACATGTGTGTCATCCATGTAACACGCATCCCCCTTCCAAGAAAAGTCCTGAGTCTGCCAAATTGTATCCCTGCCTTTCAGATGATGCTGAAGAAGAGGTGTATAAACCACGAGAGCCCTTCAACACAGAGAACCTTTGACATTTCTATCAACATCTCATGTTGTGTAGTAGTTCATTCCTCATTAGCTTAATGAGGTTGACAATGATTAACCATAATCATCCAGCTGTGTTTCTGACTTAGCAAAAGGATTTGAGGCGTTTAGAAGTTCACCAGCGAGCTCTTTCCACAGACATATTACTTAGTCAGTTGAGTGTTCCATTCATGTTTCCCAAGCTCGAATGGTTCACTATATCAATTACTTGAGGTGTTGGGCAGTTTTCCAGTGTGTCCTGGTGCCCTACAACTGCAACTACACTGAGGATCCCCCAACACAGCATGTCCCTAAAGAACTCTTCTTCTGTCAGACCACTTCCTTTGTCTGCCTCTGTGGTTAAGAGTTACCAGCCTTTGAGCCAAGATGTCAGAAGCGTTCACAGGGATGCTAAAATAAAGCATCTCTACATTCTCTGTTCAGGTGCACTTCACATTTGTGTTTATCCAGTTTGTCAAGGGGTATTGCCCTTTGTCTAGCCCATGTCACCATAAGATAGTTCCAGTTGACCAACCTGCCATTGGCTTTACCCCAGTGTCAGAAACACATGGTCTGGCCATGTGCATAGACAAAGAGGTCTCTGCCACCCAGATCTCAGAGTTAATGTCATCGTCAGCTCACCTGATCCTGGTGTATATATGTGGTGGATCAAGGAAATCTTGAGACAAATTTAAATATATATCCTTCATTTCTGTAAAATTACTGTCACACCTAATACTATCCCTAACCCAACAAAATTATATAAGAAGTACTAATCTCAGAAATATTAAATGATCCTTCATCCAACAGATCACTATCTTTATAGTATTACTTACTTTCTAAAATAAATACTGACTTTTAGCAAGACTCACTTTATCAGTATACCTGACAGCAGTTACACCAATATATGCCTATCTAATCAAACCTCCTTTGTCATATTACCACAGTATGCATGAAGACTTCAGAAGTACTGGATGTAAGGGGACATATCGGAGGAGAGGTCTCCATCCACTGCTTTGCTGGCTTGACCAAAGACAACGGCACAGAACACAACAACGTGTACTTCTGTAAAGGAATCTGCTCCAACAAAAGTATCCTCATTGAGATGGAGGGGGCAGGATTTAATGCCACCTTGCAGCAGAAGTACAACATAAAGGTCAACAAAGAATGTGGAGATTTCAATGTGACCATAAAGAAGCTGAAGAAAACAGATGCAGGAAAATACTACTGTGGCGTCAAGAAACCCTTTTGTGTTTTGCAACAGGAGGTCAATGTCCTCATCCAGGATGGTAAATGATGTGTCAGAGGTCTAGGAGGTTTCAGTAGCATTTTAAATAGACAGATCCTGACTATACAGTTTATACGAATTGAACCAAACTTCTAAATGTTTTCCTAAAAGTGAATTGCAGAAATACTAACTCTCTCATGATGCAAATCCTACTACAATGTTTCAACCGACAGTTTTAGCTAAACTTGAGGAAACACACTTAATATATTCAGCAGACCAGAGTTCACATCAAGCCACAGAGAAAGAATTTATGCCTAAGAAGAATATATATTTGCCTGAAATATGTCTTGTGATCCTTCTTCATATTCATCCACTTACAGAGTCACATGAGTGCATACACACACACACACACACACGTACACATTAGGAAATTAACCTCTGTCCTCTCCTCTCAAAGCTTCATCTGTTCCTCCTGGCTCTCTGTCCTACGATGGCTTTCAGTCTACCACTGTGTTGTCACCAGCTGCTGAACAGCTACCCACAACTGAAATAATCAATCAGACAACAAGCAGCCTCACGGGTATCTCAACGTCACTCTCAGTTGTTGTTACAATAACACATCTGTGTGCGCATGAGTCTCTGACAGTTACTTATCCGTGGCCAGACTTAATACTACTTACTGACACTGCTTACCATGGCCAACTGCATCATTTTGTTCATATGACCTTTTTTTCCCTGCATCTGTTTTTTTACAGACACTGTAGTTGTCATCATTATTTCTGTGAGTCTGGCTCTGGTAGTTTGTGCGCTCATCCCTCTTGTATTTTATGGAAACTGGAGGAGCAATGCAGGTAAACTGGCACTGACATCATACATGAGAAGCATACACCATAAAATAGATATAAAATAGAACATTTAAGAAGTGCTTTTTAATGCCCAGTACCACTCAGAGTGCATGTCAAAATAACCTGCAAATAATTTAATGAAACTAGTTTGTTTATTCCTTCTTATGAAAGGTCAACAAGCTCGTGAGGGAAACAAGGGTGAGGTTAGCGTCACTTCTGTTATTTACATACTCTAAAATTGATGATGAAAATACATTTTAAATGACTGATTGAATTCACCTTAATAGCGATTTTATCTCCTGAACAGATCAACCACTGTGAGGGGAACTCAGATGGCTCTCTCTGCATCGTCCAGCTGCAGTCTTTAGAAGCAAATCTAGAGTCCAGTGGTCAGGAACCCGTCCAGTATGAAGCCATCTATCAAGCCCTGGATCCCAAACCTTTGGAGTGAGAAAAGCAATTTCTGTTCATATTTGAAATGTAGTCTACTGTTTCTGTTTTGAGTTTTTGGGGTTTTTAATGAAGATTTTTTTTACAAATGTGTACATCTGCAAGTGGATTTTCTTAACTCCAAGCCTTCTGTATAATGCATTTTTAAATAAATGTTTACAATGTTGAGGTGACCATGATTCAGTGTGACACATGGTTTAAGGTTTCAGAAAAATATTTTGAAACATAACAACACAAACTAAAGTGCTACATTTTTAGGTGGACGAACACATGCATAAAAACCATATAAATATACTGCAATTTTGATAACACCGTTTTTACCTGTAAAAAAATCATCCATAGTAATGTAATCTGTTTTCATTCACGTGTATATACTCTGTGATGTGGTTATCTGTTAACACGTGAAGCTGTCTCTATCTAATTATGTTTTCATGGAACTCATACAGTAAATAAAAAGTTACTAAGAGTTACTATGTTGCATGCATGCATCCATGAGTCTTATTTTATTCTTAGTAAGAATATGCAGTTTTGTAGTTGTAGTTGTCCATAAAGTACATGTTTGCACATGGTTCTTCTTAGGTACGTATAGACAGTATTTTGGGTGTTGTGGTTATAGTTCCCAGTTGTAGTTTTTAACTTTTAATTCACATCAATTTGCTTTTTGAATAATAGACATGAGAACTCAGGACTTGTGTTATTAACAATGCCCTAGTTAATTAAGTCCAATCCCACAGCCAGAAAAAAACTACAATACCCAGCACCCCCTTACCCTACTCTGATACTCCTACCACATATGATTCAAACTGTCCATTGGAATCAGCGGGGAGTCTCTCCATCGCCCCATGTTGTAGAACAGATGTCCCAAACCACAGAGCTGCAGACAAGGTGAGAATCATAGGTAGTTTAGCTTTGGGATGCACAAAAAAACAGGATGAATAAGATGAAATAAGATGACATATTTTATTTTTAAATTTTACATGAAACTGTTCTCAAATGGTTGGGGGGTCTCTGATGTAGAATATATATTTAAATAGACACAGAGTGACAGTGCTGGCCCACTTGCATGGTATACAGAATACCAAAGCCAGAGAAGAAGCCCGCAATGAGCAATACATAAAACATGGTTGCCCTTTGAGGTTACGGACTACTGCAGAATGTCGGCTCTATATTGGGGCACAGGAAAAGTCCCCTTTGGCAGGCTTAAGAGAGTCACACCATGCCTGGATGTGCATGTGTATTTAGGGCAACTAACACATGCTCAGTGCATGTGCCAAAACCTACTGAGGGCTAGATCAGTCTCTTCCAACAACAGATCTGTACACCCCTAGTGATGGTGAAGGGGATTGCATGGGTTACACAGATTTTTTTCCATGTTTGGGGTGTTTTTTTGTGGGTTTTTTTTCAAATATTAACCAGTTATGAAATGTTTTATACAGTCATTGTTAAAGAATTATATGAGTTGGTGTGGCTTCTCTTGGTATGACAAAAAAGCCCCTGGAAAAAGAAAAATTCAGACATCACATTTTTAACATATATTATCATCTGATCATTTATCTGTACACAAATATAAAGGTCAAATCCTATTAGATGTCAATGAAATGTTACTCACCATGAAATGTTGTTTATGCAGAGTTTGTTCAGCCAACAAGCCTGCCAACTCACTGTTTCACTATAAAGAACTTGTCCAGGCATTTCATTAAGACAGGAAAAGTAATTTGAAATCTTGAAGTAGATGTGGAGAAAGGTTATGAGGCCAGCTTTTATTAAGTTACACATACTGGATTTATGTGAATGTATGTCATAGTAAAAGGAACTTATAGTTTAGAACTCTTGTGGCCTGCAATTTTAAGTCTGGTTAGGCCAGAATCAAGCTTACACTTTAGATATATTTGTACTAACAATGGAGTTTGACAGCCTCGCACTACTGATCAACCATGTACAATGTAATATCAATAAATACGTGATGGAAATTAGAAATCAACATTACTACTAAAACGTTGCTGCAATTCTTGATCATCACATTTCCACAAAGATAAAAACAAAATAAAATTATTAGTATTGAGTTTTTACAGACATAATCTGATCTTTTCAATAAACCAACTGCTAGTTGTCATCAGGAGTAAGATCAGGAGTTCAATGTTATCTGGCATTAATTTACAAAAATAGTTCACATGGTGGAGAATGTGTAAGCAGGGCCATGAGAAACCACAGAGCTGAAGAATATTGTAGTTGCTGCGGCACATTATTTATTTATTTATTTTCAAAAACAGAATTTATTTTTTCTACAAATACGACTTTTTGTGGTGCCTTCTTTCATTGGATTTGTAACAATAAAAATAATATGCAATGTAATGACCAATGAGTTCATGACTTCTAAGATGGTGATGTTTACCAGAAAAACTTCCATTAAGAAAATCTCCCTGCGTTTTACGTTTCAAGTCATCAGTGAACTACGTGAACAATAATGCACAACAACAATGTTGTGACAATAGAAAATTTCTTTCGCAAAGAGTTTAAATTTGCATCCAGGAGCACTCACAGAGTAAAGAATGTTATAATTATATTATATACCTCAAATCTATTAAAAAATGTCTGACAATTTAACATAAGATGACAGAAAAACATGTTTTTCACATATTAACCATGAAAATAAATCATTCTATTGGCATTTCACCTACACACATCCTATGTAAAAAAGTTTACATCTTTAGAGCAATAATCTAAACTTTATGTTTTTTAGGATGGTGGAAGAACCTTGGCGATTGTGTCTCGAGCACTTTGACTAAGCCTTTCTGGGAACTTAACCTCAAACTCCACAATTAGATCACCTCTACGATCTGGGCGTTTTGGATAAGGAAGCCCTTCTCCACTTATCCTCCGCTTCATTCCAGGGTGAACAATATCTGTTGTTGTGATGGGCACTGTTCTGCCATCCAGTGTTGGTGCATTTATAGTACTGCCACACAAGGCCTGAAGAAAAAGGTGAAGAGGCAAAGAGAGATAAAAACAATTAGTTAGTCTTAACTTTACTTTTTTAGGGATTGTTACTAGCTAACTGATAAAGGAAGGTGCTCTGATAACTATTACACTATTAAACTATACATTTTTACTTACATCCCTCAGTGAGATCTTGGCTGGATATATGATGTCAGAACCGTCCCGTTTGAACACTGGGTGTGGTTTGTCTTTCAACACAAACACCACATCAGCTGGAATATTAGTAGGCGTTTCATCCCCCTCTTTTGGAAAGGTGATTTTGGTGCCCTCCTTCCATCCTTTTTTAATTTGCAACTCCAGGATTTTATCTTCTGTCCTTAATGTTCTCCCATCCGGGTTCAGTCTTTTACGAGAAATCTTCATTTTCTTAGTACAACCTGCCAAAATTTCGTCTATGGTCACCTGCAGATCATGAACCACTGGAGGGTCCTGGTGCTTCTTTACTACACTGCTATGACTGCCCATTCCTCCCATTCCTGTGCTAAAGGAGCGGGGAAACCCACCCATTCCACTGCCACCCATGCCAAAGCGGCTAAAAAGATCATCAGTGTCCATGTCTTCTTGATTGCCCCCATTACGGCTCCCAAAGAACTGATCAAAGGGGTTACGTCCACCAAAAAACTCTGAAAACATAGCATGAGGGTCTCCTTGAAAGGTGTAGCTGAAGGTACCGCCATCACCACCACTTGAAGGACCATTTCCTTTCAGACCTGTGTAAAAGAAACGGTACATAAAAATATAAATGTATTTCTATGACAAATTTATTAATGACCCATTATTAATAATTCGTTTATTAATAATGTGTAAGGATGTGTAATAAAAACAATTTATTCATAACTTCATTTGGTTTGTTTGGGTTGTGCAGACAATATACATACAGAAGTATAAGTTATAAATGTCTCCAAAATGAAGCTGGAGCTAATTCAATCAGTCTTCGGGCAAATGCAGATGTACCTAAGCAGCTAAAGAAACAAAACCCATTACTGTTTGTAGGTGTATGCATTAAGATTTCTTGTATACTCTGGGTTCCTCACATATTCCAAAAAAACAATAACAAAAAAAAAACTCCACATGAAAAACCATAATTTTTCACATGATATCGAAACCTATCATCTTCTTGTTGTAAAACAATAGCACGAACTCCCTCATTCTTTGAGTTTTTCATTTCTGAATTTTCCACAACTTCTTTTTACTAACGGTCTGCCCAGATGGATTGGCTACGACTGTTCATTGCCACGCCCCTCTCAGCTCCTGGGCGTGTACTGCAGTTCACTGGTAGACATTAAAATGGAAGTCGCGCATTTCCTTGTTCATTAAAAACATATAATTCAAAAGACGAGACCAAATAACATCCCACAGAACACCACCAGTGGCTGATTGCTCTTGCGCCCATGGTTTCTGTTGATACGTTTCGACAACTGAATATAAAGTTTATTTATAATTTACCCAACTCAACGCCACCCTGACATTTGCCTGTTCCGATTAATATGCGTTTCTTGTAGAAGCTTTATTATCTTACCTTCTTCGCCAAAACGATCGAAAATGTCCTTTTTCTTGGCGTCGCTTAAAACATCGTAAGCCTCGGCAATTTCTTTGAATTTGTCTTCTGCTCCTGGTGACTTGTTTTTGTCGGGGTGATATCTCAAAGCCTGCTTACGGTAAGCTTTCTTTATTTCCTCCTCGGATGCCCCCTTCTTAATACCGAGAATCTCATAATAGTCTTTGCCCATTTTAACGACTGTAGCGCATAAAAACGACGATCGGTTTATCGGTTACTTCGCAGTAAATACAAGGAGTACTCCAGGAGTTACACTGTTTCTTCCGTGTCCTTTGTACCGTTTCACTTTTTCTGTAAACGTTTGTCTTCAAAGTCGAAATTGTTGCTTGACTCGGTACTGTCCGCTGTGGACCCAGTCGTGTTCTGTTCATTTAACCTCGAGTTTTCGGTTTTACTTTCATTTAAGTCCTCGTAGAAAGTTCCAGAGTTTTCCATATCGAGCCCGAAAAGTCTAAACTATGACGCTGCGACATAGACACACCTACGAGTACGTCATCCTCTGCTGCCTTCAACGTCTGTCGGAAATCCCGTCCATCTGCTCACATACCATTCCCTTTTCAGCCACCCACACCCACACAATCTAGCAGCTTGTCTTAGTAACTGCACAACTGATAATATTGTCGTCGTGGCAAACAATATGTATACCACAACAACTGAAATATAATTAGCTGATACTCTTTACCAACTATTACCAACTCCTGAGATATATATAGCTGTAATTTAACAAATGTAATGCAAATTCGCTGGGTCATCATCCAATGCAACCACAGTTTCACTTTTATTCTGAGTAGCAGAATTAGAAATTTGATAATACGTGGATATTGCAGCCTTATGGCTGGGCAATATAGTCCAAAATCATAACTCGATATTCTTCTGCTAAATAACGATACATGATGCAGTATGATGCTCAATTTGAGGGATTTTTCAGATTCAGAAAACATTACTAATGCCACTAGGGCAATTGAGATGGTTGGCGTGGGCGTGACAAGTAGTATAAGGGACAGACAGGCAAAGCAGAGTTTATAATAAAGACATACAGAGATAATAAAAATAATAAATTTATTACAATTAATAAACTTCACATTTTACATTTTCGGTCTTAATCCACACATGTGAGGCATATACACAAATTCTAATTTGAGGCTTATTTTTCAATCACAAAAAGGGCTAGAGAATTTGGACCAACTGTCATAAAGACCCATTTACCTAAACTATCGTGAGTTATTCAATACCAATCCGATACCTTTTTGGTCATTCACCACTATGAACATGTTGGGATTTTCAAGCCCTGCCTGCCAACAAAAATCTTGATAAGGAAAGTTTGAAGGAAGGAAAGTGAACTACTTGTCATTGTGACACAGCACACCACGAAACCTGACCTCTGCTTTTAACCCATCACCAAAGTGAACAGTGGTCAGCTTTAAGGCCCTGGGGTGCAGTGTGTGGGGACGGTGCTTGCTCAGAGCACCTCAGTGGTAACTTGGCAGCTGGTGGACTCAAACCTGAAGCCTTCAGGACCAAAGTCCACTTTCTTAGCCACCACTGATAAGTGACATTTCAAATTTATACAACTAACACCAAGAAATGCAATATTTTATAATGACTTAAAATTAATACATAAAAAAACACAAAGTTCAAAAGTGCATTTGTGCCATTCTTCCCTTGTCCTCCCACTTGTCACAGCTGTCCTGCCGTTCCCCACCAGTTGGGCCAGCCCCACACTTTGAGAACTACTGGTTTAAGACATGTGCCAGATGTGTGACGAGTTGTGCAGTAGTTATGGCCATAGTTTGCACATCAAATGTCTAAAAAACAATCTGGGTAAAAACAATTGTGTGTGATGTATTCTCCAGGTTGTACACATGGTTTCTCTCAGTGCTTCAATTCCTCCTGTAGTCAAAAAAAACAAAAAACATAGAAATTCAGTATTAAATTATTTTAACAAGTTATTTTAAACATTACCATTGATAACCACAAAGGACTGACAACATGAGCAGGTTTAACCTTCAAAAACATACGGTCAGGGTTGAGTCCCACTCTCAGTGCAAACAGTAATAGGATTAAGCTGTAGAGATAGACTAATGCTTGCATGACCATCACACGTTGTGTGTGCACAAGCTGCCATATTGCATTGTAAGCTATGGCTGACCAACCAGAGACTTTTTTCGATTGAAAGACAAGTGAGACCTGATCCTGTTGTTCCACCAGTCCCTCACTTACATCTTTGTAAGTTCAATGAGGTTACCAACTTCAAATTCCCAAAATGTGCAAATTTTAACTTTTTAAAGCTTAAATATTTGTATTTGGATTGGCCATGAACCTACAAAATAATACAGTACTTTACATACATTTTGTAGAACGCATACCATAAATAATAAGCAAATTTATTTGTAAATCTCTGTTAAATTAAATGCCCATTTGGGAGCATGAGTTTTGTATTTTAATACTAGCGGTTGATAATGTATTTTTGTGGAAAACAAAGAACAACAACAGTCACTGTTCAATTTCTAAGGATTCGATTGGGCAAGGACTGTTCGAACTAAAATAACCGTGATTTGCTGTTGCATCAACATAGACCCCGCCTTGGGTGGCCTCAGATATATGGCTCTCTCTGATTGGATGGTGCGCTGTCACTCAACGTTGATACCAGGAAGGGCTGCTAGGTGCCAAGATGAAGCACTACGAGGTAAGAAGTATCAATTAAAAATAACAATCGCAAACGGAGTATTTCATAGAAACAAGCGTAGGTTTGTCAGGCGCACTATGACTTTTAGAGCTACATCTACGACTGTGAAAAGTACCCGAAAATGTAGGTATTTGATGAGGATAGTCAGGATTGTGTGCTGAAGCAACGCAGCATGACAATGTCTTGACATGAAGTCTGCTTAGGTCATGCTGAAAGTCATTCTGCAGTAACAAGAACTAGAAAACATCATGTTCCGTTGTGCGTATACGGAGTTCATTTCGCAATTTTAACCCATCGACTTCGTATAAGATGAAGACCTGTCTGTGTGAATAACACGGTAATCAGCATTATCGTAATCTCTGGCTGAAACCATTTATGGCGCCTCCTATCTTGGTATTACCCAACGATACAGGTGAACAGGCAGATATCACAGAGTGCGACATCCACGTTGTACATTTGAATTTTATGACCGTAAGTGATCGAAGATGATTGTTTTTTGTTTTGTTTTTTTTGAGTATTCAAAAGTTAATTTGTCCATAACATACAGCTTAGTAAATGGTAATGGTATTCACCCTCTTATATTATGCAACTCTACGCGAGGAGACAAAAATTCGAACATGGTCGCATTTAAAACTGCAGTATTATCTTTTTTTCTAAATTTAAATATGAGCCCTCCCTTAAGTATTCTTGTTTTGTTTAAATATTCCAAAATGTAGGCCACTTTCACGGAAAAGCAGCAAAAGTACGCAATATTCCAATTGGAAAGAAAAATATTTATTTTTGTAAATGCTCAGAGATAATTATGTATTTTCTGGAATTATATTTAATTATTTCAAGAGATGCTTCGGTGTATGTCGGGAATAGAGTACTATTCTATTTTTTATCTATTTTTTACCTGATCCACTGTTGTATTAGCAGCAATTAATGTGTCTTCACGAGTTTCTTTGAGACTTGAAACCCACCAGACAGGATTTGAAGTAGTCAGACAAAAACTAAGCGAAACATTTGCCGCTCCTCTTTACCTGTTTTCTAACAGACATGCTTTGGGCAAAAATGTGGTTAAATAACCTGGCTGTTAAAGAACAATGTTGCAAACCATGTAACACAATGATAATCAATATACTGTATGAAAACATGCCTTGTGCTAGTTGTGCGTACTGATTACATTTGCAGCTCAGGTGTGTCAACAAAAAGTTGGTTTTATTTCCTGTTGACTAAATGCACCTGCATGATAATTATCGTCCAGACGTCTGTTGGACCCTAGAATGTTTTGCATTGATGAATAGACCTAATGTTATGTCAATAAATCAGTGACTTAACAGCTGCTTAATTAATCTATCTAGCTTCTAGCTGAACCCAGTTTTGTTGGGAAAAAAAATTAGAATGTCATAGTTTGAGGTTTTAGGGTACATTATTTTTTAAAAATTATTTACACTTTAAATTAGCAATTAACTATTTACCTAATTTAAAAATCAAAATGTGAATTTGCTTCAGCTGAATGCTTTTTTGCCTTGTTCATCATTTAAAATGCCAATGCCAGTTGACCTGAATAAAGATTCAGTCTCTGCACATCAGTGCTGTGAAGATTTGTCCTCTAATCAATGGAGTCTAAATTTGGTTAAATTAAATCTCACAATTGATAAGGAAATTTAAAAAAAAAAGCAAATCCTGAGCTCATAAAATGTGAATACATTGTTGTTTGTACTGTCCTTCCTGACACTAAATTGACTAAAATGTTGTCACTTTTTTCTACATTTGTTTGATTGCTTTTTTGAAAAAATTTATATTTAGTTTAAAATTAAATATTTTATATTTGACTTGTCATTCCTATCCGTAAAACACATGGATATGTCAGAGGTAAAGGAGCCAAACAAAGCATTATGCCTGTATTTCTAATTATGTTCCAAAACAACCAAAAGCAAAAACTATCTTCACTTCATTAGTTATTACATGTTTTCATAATGTCAAATTATACTAGAACTAATGTTGCATTTCATTTGTAGTAACCATTTTCACTCTCCTACCATCAGCCTGTGTTTTTTCAATATATAAAACTTATTCCGATCGTCTCACTCGTTACAGATTTTTTTCTTTAAGTGCCCCTTACCTTTGGATGAAGTCAAGCAGTCCACAGTTGTGATTTGTGTAGACTGTCACTGCCAGGCAGAGGCTTTATATAGATGAGGAAAGGGAGGTACGTTGGCACTGGGTATTGCTTGGCACATGGAGGAATGAGATGACCACAGTATCATGTGTCCTGCTCATTTTGAACATGCACAGATATGTTGCTTATACAGCAACAACTCTGGTTAAAGTTCTTACTTTAAAAAAAAAAGGAAAAAACTTGTTTATATTAAGCCATTTTCTTTGTCTTAATTTAGGATCCAAAACCAAACTGTTAGGTTCAAACACACAATGTTGTAACAAGGGATCGTTCCAATTTTCTGTCAAAATTGAATTATCTAAATTAGTTTCTATTTCAGTTACTACCATACCAACATGTTTGGCACCTTTGTTGTAAATAGTCTTCTACTAGGCTACAACATATTGTTCTCCACTGTGTTCTCAGGTGTGTAAGCACCAGCAGTGTAGATGTCAGATGTTTGACAGCCGGCACAGCAAGATCAAGAATGCAGCCATGATGTCACCATACAGGCTTTTATTGATGTGGGCTCGTGATTGAGCCTACGGTGAAGAATTAGCAGTAGTCATTTATATTTAGTGACACAGAACCACCCAAAACTCCATCCTCCCTTTAATTTAAAGGTGACGAGGTCGTCAGGTGTCTGTTTTTAGGGAAGGGTTAAGTTTTAAAAGCAACCAAACTACCACTCTGTGCTCCAGAGGTTTCTTCAATGGCGTTTAAATGGATGATATACCGCACACAGTTTGCCAG